AACAGTAAGGGTTACTATTTAAATCATAGAATTTTAGAACCAGAAGATCTTTTTTTATTAGGACTGAAAGTGACTTCAAAGGTCATTGGATCATAGATTTAGAACTGGAAGGGGCCTTACAGATGATTGAGTCCAACCCATCTCATTTTAAAAATAGGAAACTGAGGCCCAGAGGTACAGTAACTTGTCCAAGGTCACACAGGTAGCAAATGGCAGAGCAAAGATTTGAATCCTGATTCCAAATCCATCACTGTTTGCCACTACACCGAACTGTCTCCTATCATTTAGTCCAAGTCCTCTTTTTGATTCTTTTTTTAGATGCTGCCCAAAAAATTAAATGATTTGCCTAAGGTTACAGAGCTTGGTTAGTAGATAAGCCTGGACCAGAGCTAAAGGTCTTCTAACTTCAGTCCAGGGTTCTTTCCACTACAACATGCTTATTTACCTTTTTTTTTTTCAACAGGCATTATTGTGTGCTCACTGAAGGGGTACGAAAGGAACAGATGAGTCCCGAGCTCAGGGAGTTTGCTATCTCATTGTGGGAGACAGAATATCAGTCAATCAATGAACATTTATTAAATGTTCTACTATATGTCTGGCACTGTGCTAAGCATCGGAGATGTTAAAAAGAGGCAAAGGACAGTCCCTGCCCTCAAGGAGATTACAATCTAATGGGGAAGACAAGAGAAACAATGACGTAACTCATAATTGAAAAACAGGAGGAAGGGGACCAGGAATGAAGGTTATGGGAAAGGGGGTAGCAGTAGAAGAGGAGTAACAAAATAGTTGGTACCATATATAACAAAGTCTGACAACTCAATCTACTCAGGGCAAGAAAAATCCTGTACTTGGGAGTCAGGTGAGACCTGATTTTTCTCAATTTTCATTCTCTTTGCAATATTTGAATCTGTCACCTTCTCTTTCTGGATCTTCTTTCCTCTGTGTGTTTTGGGGTCATTGCTCTCTCTTGGTTCTCCTCCTATGGGTGTCTCCAAGGCTCTGGCCTGGGCCCTCTACTCTTCTTCCTTTCTCCTGTTTCACTTAGTGAATCCCATGGATTCAGTTACCATCTCTATGCTGATGGCTCCCGACTGTATATTCAGGCCTATCTTCTGAGCTCCCATCCTACATCTCCAACGACTTACCAGATATGTGGAACTGAATGTCCAGTAGACCCTTAAAACTCAACACATCTACAGCAAAATTAACAATCTTTTCCCCCAAGCCCTCCTCTTGTCCATGTGAGCTTGACCTGGTCACTCAGGTTCTCAACCTAAGGTGCTGGATCATGTCCCTTCTACCTTCACAACATCTCTGTTGTCCCCTTCTCGTCAGTTACATATCACCACTCTAATTTAGGCACTCATTACCTCTTGTCTAGACTATTGCAAAGGCCTTCTAATCAGTCTCCCTTCTTCAGGTCTTTCCCCTCTCTAATTCAACATACACACAACTGCCAAAGTGATTTTCCTAAAATATAAGTCTGCTCACGTCCCTTTGGAGCAGCTAGGAAGCATAGTGAATAGAGTGCCAGGCTTGGAGTCAGGAAGACTTATCTTCATGAGTTCAAATCTGGCCTCAGACACTTACTAGCTGTATGACCCTGGAGACGCCACTTAAACCCCATTTGCCTCAGTTTCCTAATCTGTAAAATGAGCTGGAGAAGGAAATGGCAAAGTACTCCAGTATCTTTGCCTAGTAAACTCCAAATGGGGCCACAAAGAATTAGACAGGACTGAAATGACTGAACAACAGGTCCCTCCTCCACCCCATCCCTTTCCATCAATAAACTCCAGTTGTACCCCATTACTTCTAGGATTCAATAGAAAACTCTCTAGTATTTAAAGCACTTCACAACCAGATGCCTTTCTACCTTTTCAGTCTTCTCACATTATTCCTTTCCATGGACACTAAGTCTGAACAATACCAGTCTACTTGACTATTCCTCAAACATGACACTGGCTCTCTAGTCTCCTTTGCGCTGTGTGTCACCTAGGCCTGGAATGCTTTCCCTCCTCAGGTCTGCCTCTTGGCATCCTTAACTTCTCTCAAGACTCAAAGACAATCTTTTGTAATAGGCCTTTCTCCATCAGCTTAAGCTTTCCATCCCAGGTTCCCTTCCTTCTTCTCTGTACTGATCTTGTATTATTTATTCGTTTGCATGATGTCTCTTGCCTTAGAACGTAAGCTTTGTGAGGGCAGGAACTGTTTTTTGGTATTATTTACTTTCTTAGTATTCCCTTCATACTAATCTCACAGGGTTGTTGTGAGGCTTAAATATGGTGTCTGGAAAGCATTATTATTATTAAAGGCATATATCACTGCCCATTTTTTAAAATGACACATGAAGATAATAGAGTTGTGAAAGAAAAGACTAACAGTCCTAGAATCTTTTCCATTCTGCTCACATATAGGCTGTCAGTTTTTGGTTCTGCCCATGTTCTTTCAGTTGGGACAATGCCTTGTAAAAACTAAACTTCCTCATCCCTATTTCTCATCTCTCTTAGTTAGATAAGTCTGTATACCAGCCAAACAGGCCTATTGAATACTGAATCTGTGTTTTAGAAAGTAATTAGAGAATTTCATCGTGCTGGGGAAAAACATTGACCTGGAAATCCGGAGACCGAAGTTCTAGTTTTGACTCTGATACTAACTAATTATGTGATGATGGACAATTCACTTAAATTCTCTGTGCCTCAGTTTCCTGTAAAATTAGAGTTGTACTAGAATTAGGTTTCAAAGGGTCCTTATAGTCACCAGTCCAATCACCTCATTTTGAGACCCCAGATCACACAAGTACTAAGTGGAAAAAGCTAGAATTTCAACCCAGATCCTCTGACTGTAAATTCAATATTCTTTCTACTATATCAAAATGATCCAGTTCTAAAAATCCCCTGCCTTCCCCACTTCTCTTTGGCTTTTTCTTTCTGTTCATCATATGCCTAAAAGCTAGGACTGTTAGTCTTTTCTTTCACAACTCTATTATCTTCATGTGTCATTTTAAAAAATGGGCAGTGATATATGCCTTTAATAATAATAATGCTTTCCAGACACCATATGTATAGACACACATACATATATATGTATATATATATATATACACACACACATACATATATGTATATGTATATATGTACATATGTATACATATCTCTATATCTTCATATATATATCTACATATACACACACCTGCATATATAATATATACACATATACATATATGTAGATATTACAGAACAGATACAGGTGTATATGTATATATAGGTGCATGTGTATTCTGTATATGTATACATATAATTATACACACATATATAAATATACATCTATACACATATACATACATACATACAGTACACACATACATATAAAACAAACCCTAAACACTGCACATATGGACAGTTCCTGACCTCATTTGGTAGCTTAGTGGACGAGCGGAGAGTCACACTCAGTTTTACAGGCATACTTATTAGCTCTTTGGACATTTTCAAACATCCTTCCTTATACTCGGTGCACATAGACTGCACAACACTGTGTAGCCGGTTGAACATTTCTCCTTTGTTGGCCTTCTTGAAACTAAAGATGTGAGGTGTGAGTTGTAGGGCAAGGGGAGAGACCGAGAAGAAGTTGGTCAGGGAGAAGCCTGTAAAAACTATTTCTTCCTCTTCTAGTTTAAAATGACCTGAAATTCTAGTACAATGAGACCCAGCCAATGAAAGCCTGAGGAAAAATAATTCTAGCCTGTTGAAAAATAATTCTAGCCTGTTGAATGTCTGGAGTTCCTTAACCTGTTAGTGGATACACTGAACCTGCCACATCTCCAGGAGTAAGTCACCCCTCCTTCTCCTTCAGCCTTGAGACAGAGCAAGTGGAAAGGTGAGGAGGAAGAAAGGATGGACAAAGTGTGCTGGTAGTTAGAAGCCCAAAATGGAGTGTGATGGGATCTGGGAGAAAAAGCACGAAGAAAGGGAGTGGGGGAGGGGTCGAGACTTTAGAGATAGGTCGGGCAGCATCGAAAGACCGGGAAGAGAAGGCAGCATCCTCTCCTTCACCCCTCTTCCTTTACATCTCAAGGAGTGGAGGAAAGAAAACTTAAAAATGTAACTCTCTACAACAGATTTTCAAGGGGACCTAGGCTAGGCTGAAGAAATGTGTCTCGTAAAGCTGTGGCTTGGTCCAAAATAAGAGACATTGGCAAAAAGGGGAAAAGGAAGAGGAAGAATGGAGAGTTGGGGCACTGTGATCCTTAGATTAGGGAGGAGCAAATACACCCCGAGGGCAGAGATGACTGTCAGTTCCCTCTGAAGTCCCCAGTCTCTTCAAAACCGGCAAAGGGTGAAGGGGTGAGACTGATGTGAGATTTTTGCGATGAGACTTGGAAAAAAACCCAAAAAACCCTCCAACTCCAAACCACTCACTTGTGTTTTTATCTACTGCGGAGAGCTGAGGGTCCCTAAAAGCCCCATGCTCTAGTTTCCTTACTCCTACCTCCTTCTCAAACACCCCACTTTGTGGTTTGACTTCGAGTTCCCTCCCAAGTTTCGAAGACCAACACGTGATTTCCATGAAGCCCGGGGCCCCCCAGACTAAATGCCCGTGAAGCAGAGAGTGGGGGTAGGGCGGGACCCTGCCAGTGGGACCTAAGGATGGGGAATCTTCGTGGGGCTGGGGACTAAGCAGGGGAGGGTAAGGAAGTAAATCAGGACTTGGACGGGGCGGAGAGGTGAGGGCTTCCAAGGGATCAGAACACAGGATCAGAATTTGGGGAAGGGGTTGTGATAGAGAGGGAAACGGGACCAGGAGCTGGGCAGGGGTGGGGGGTGGGGAAGAGAGAAAGAGTGAAAGACCTGCGGCGGAAGGAAGAGAGAGAGTGGAGTGATAGTGAGATCGGGTAGCCAGAGGGGGAGGAGGAGGTGTGCCTCCAGCCTGGCCGGGGAAGGGAGTGGAGGAGGGCAACTCGGAGAACTCCGGAGGAGGGCCAGGTGCGCTGGCGCGAAGGATGCCCGGGGCCGGAGAATCTCAGTAGGCAAAGAAGGGGCGCGGCGGGACCGGCCGGCTGCTCCTCCCCCGGAGGCTGCGCTACGCTGCCCTGCCGGGGGCGGGTCGGGGGCAGCGGAGCTCCCGGCATGTCGCAAGGGCTCCCGGCCACCGGCAGCGTCCTGCAGAGGAGCGTCTCTGCCCGCGGGAATCAGCAACAGCCGCAGGTAGCCGGGGGAGATGGAGCGGAGCGGGGGAGGGGAGGGGGGGTAGATGGGAAGGCGGGAGGGCGAGGAAAGGGGCGCGGAGAGCAAAAATGTCCGCGACCGCGGCATCTCTGCTGGCTGCAGTGCTCCGTGACGGACTGGGCGGAGGTCAGGGAAGTGGCGGAGAGCGCCGGGGACGGTGTTAAGAGACACTGCCTTGGGGCAGCAAGCATGGGGTTGGCGGCTTAAAGCACACAACAGTGCGGGGGCTGGAGTCCAGCCAATGAGGAGTTCTGGCGGCTTCCAGGATCAGGGTCAAGACCCACTGGCTATCCCTGCTACCTGAGCTGTTACTTTATCTTCGGAGTACGGGCACCAGAACCCCATGGTCTGACTGGGGAGAGTCATGCCTTCGCACGTGGGAACTCAGCTCTGGGCGCCGCGCTGCGGCCAGTCGTCAAGGCCCTCCCTTTCCCAGGGCTCAGTGGGTCACTGCTTTCCCGTCTCCCAGCCACTTGCACCTATGGCTCCTGTCATAGGGGATTTTCAGGACTGGTAGGGGAGGAATGGGGTGCTGGGGAGAGGGGTTCCGCCTCCACCCCTTCTCCTTCCTCTCCTGCCCTAGCTTCAGAGAGCACAGCTCTTAAGGTGAGGAGGGTTCGTCCTAATGCTGGGGGAAAGTGGAAGCACTCAGCAGATTGGAGAATGTTAGAGCTGCAAGCCACCTTAGAAATAATTTAGTCAACACCACTCACGACAAGTAAGGATAAGTGATGTGACTTGCCGATAAAATCCCTGGAAGGATCTCAGCTAGAATCTCGGTGCCTTGTTGCTTAGCCCAGTACTTCATATCCACTATACCCAGCAGCAGACTTCACGTGAAACACCAACCAACTAGGTCAGCAGTGTGATCCTGGGCAAGTCATTTAACCTGTCTGCCTCAGTTTCCTCATCTGCAAAACAGGGATAATAGTAGCGCCTACCTCCCAGGGTTGTTGTGAGGAGCAAATGAGATAATATTTGTAAAGTATTTTGCAAGCCTTAAATTGCTTTAAATGCTAACTATTATTGTTATTGTTATTAGCTGACTCCCAAACTTTTTTTCCCTGTGGTCCAGGTAGATCCCTGTCCCCCTTTCCCCACCCCCAAACTGTTTATCTGGCCACCTTCATGGGAAGTAGTGTTGTATAGTGAAAAGACCACTAGAAATCTGAGCTCAAATTCAGCCTCTCAATGAAGTTGCCAAGAGGGACACCTGTTTAAGTAGCAGGCATATCTTGAATCCAAGTCCCCAAATATCAGAGCAGCCCAGTCAGAATATGGAGTACCCTCAGCTCTGAGTGAGGAAATAGCATAATAGAGCCTGAGCTGGAAGGGATCTCTGATTTAATCCTCTCATTTTACAGGTAAGAAAGCTGAAGCCCATTAAGTAACTCAATTTATATTAAGGATCTTTCCCACCAAAACAGGTAGTAAGCATAGAGGGTTTGGGGTAGGATTCAAACGCAGGCCCCTCTGACTCCCAAGCCAGTGCTATTTTCATGTATCATGCTGGTCAATATAATTCAACTGACATTTATTAAACCCTTTGATCCAGCATTTATTTGCTTAAATAAATGATTTTATGAGGCAACCTAGGGTTAAGTGACTTGCCCAGGGTCACACAGCTAGTAAGTATCTGAGGACAGATTTGAACTCAGTTCCTCCTGACTTCAGGGCCGGCACTCTATCCACTGCGCCATCTAGGGGCCCTTTAATAAGCAATTTTACAGTGATGGTGGTGACAATGAGCAAACTGGTGTGATTGGGTGTGTAGCATAGTACAGACTTTTTTTTTTGTTCATACCATCATTGGTCTAGAAAACTCCAGGCGAGGAATTTCCTTCTACCAGTGCACATCTGGGACTTTTGTAATTTTAGAGAGGGGTCTGGAGGGACTTAAAGGTTGGGTGACTTGTCCATGGCCACATAGTCAGAGGTAAGACTTGAACCCTGACTCACAAAATCTGGAGTCAATCCTTCGGTATCTGCAGCAATGTGGGGAGAGCATCTCAGTCTTGCTTCAGCCTTTTGTTAGCACAGAGTTATTTTCCTCTGGGTGCAGGTGCATATGTTGGAGTGGATTGAGTGCTAAGCAATGAGTCAAGAAGTCCTGGGTTTAAATCCCACTTAGTATCTGTGAGACCCCAAGCAAGACATTTAAGCTGTGTGCCCTAGAGAGCTCCCAGTAATTACTTACTAAGTTGTAGATCTTTGTTATAGGTAGCATAAGTTCCCATGCTCACAACCCTGAAGGCTGACAAAATCACTGAGCCTTCTGGTATTCTTATTGTAGGTGAATGTGCTGGATTCTGTGTCCTTTTTTTCTTGTTAGATGGTAATTTCTTCAAGGCAGAGACCATAACTTCTCTTTCTTCAGTATCTTCTCAGCACAGCAAATGCCCAGTCATTATTTCTCTAGGTTCTGTTTTTGACCCAAGGTCGTGAGATCTCTGTTTCAACTTGACTATTCAACATTTCACATTGATTGGCTTAAAGTGTTTGTTCTATGATAAGCTTTGAGGGATTTGACTGACTTATACTACTGTGTACCACCAAGGAGTTTCAAGATGTACCTGAAATTCAATTTGTGGTTTAGTCATCCATCTTGTAATAAAAGGGCTGATTATTAAAGTTTTTAAGCAGCCATATCTTAGATTATAAACTCGAGGATTTTTGATGAATTTAATGGAATTTGACATGTCAATATAAGTTACAGGGAAGTGTGAGGTGTACAGAATGACTAATAAAACCCACATTTGTGTATTTCTTTATTTTCAAAAGCATTTGGGTATCATTTTGTGTGACACTATGTTGGAGTCTATCCAAAAATAAATTATACAAAGTCTTTAACCTTCTGGGATTTTAAAATCTAAGCCAAACAACACCACCAGTAACAGATGTTCTATGCACATATCAATTCAATACAATTTAATTGAACAAGCATTTATCAATCACCATAGTATATAAAAGGTCCTGTCTACATGCTGGAAATATAGAGACAAAATAAAAAACACTATCTGTCCTCAAGGAGCTTACATTCTACTTTTTTTTTGAGGGCGAGGGGTGAAGTTGTACAATATTTACAAAGATAAGGAAATACTAAATAATTTGAAAAGGGAAAGAATATTAACGACTATAGGGATTAAAGGTGGCTTCCTACAGTAGTTTGTACCTTAGATGAGCTTTGAAAGAAGCTAAAGATTTTAAGCTTGAAGGAAGCCAGGAAGAAAATTGAATAGGGAGAGTTGTAGGCATAGAGACAGTCAATGAAATGTCTTGTTCAAGGTAAAGCTAGGTGGCTAATGTCACTAAATCCCAGAGAATGTTGATGGAATGAGGTGCAAGAACAATAGAAAGGAAGGAAAGGGCCAAGTAATGAAGGGCTTTAAAAGCCAACAGAAGATTTTATATTTGATCCTAGAGATAATAGGAAGCCACTGGAGTTTATTAAATTGAAATGAGGATGGGGCGGGAGTGATTTGATAAGGTCAGACCTGCACTTTAGGAAGATCAATTTGACAACTCAGTGGAGGATAGAATAGATATCAAAGAACTGATACAGGAAAAATTTTCTTTTTTTTCTTTTTCTTTTTTATGGCAGTTGGGGTTAAGTGACTTGCCCAGGGTCACACAGCTGGTAAGTATCAAGTGTTTGGTCTGAGACGGATTTGAGCTCAGGTACTCCTGACTTCAGGGCTGATGCTCTATCCACTGCACCACCTAGCTGCCCCAAAAATTTTCCAAAAAAAGGGAGACAACAGTCTGTAAACTATAGGCCACTGATCTTGACGTCAATTCTTGGGAAAATTCTAGAATGTGTCATGAAGGAGATGATTAGTGATCATCTGGAAAAGGAGGCAAGGATTACAAAGAAGATGGTTTCATCAAGAACAGATCGTTCCAGACTGTTCTGTTTCTTTCTTTTTTTCCCTCCTAGGGTTACTAAACTGGTAGATAAGGGGAATATTGCAGCTATAATTTACCTAGATTTTGTCAAAGCATTTGACAAAGTAGCTCATGTTATTTTTATGGAAAAGATGTAGAGATAAACTATTTGGACTCAGAGAGCAGTCATTAATAGCACAATGTCACCCTAGAAAGGCATCTATAAGGGAGTCCCCCATGGGTCAGTGCTTGGCCCTATGCTGTTAAACATTTTTATCAATGGCTTGGATGAAGGTGGAGATGGTATGCATATCAAAGTTACAGATGACATAAAGTCGGGAGGGTTAGCCAACTTGGTGGATGACAGGGTCAAATTCCCAAGCACTGGGTTGGATCTAATAAGTGAAGTACAATAGAAATAAACATAAAGGCTTATCTTTGGGTTCAAAAAATAATCTTTACAAGTACAAGATAGAGGAGGCATAGTGATTTATCTGAAAAAGATCTGTGTGTTTTAGTGGACCTCAAGTCCAGTATGAGTCAGCAGTAGGATGTGGTAGTAAAAAAACCCTGATATGATCTTGGGTTGTTTTGAGAGGCCTAGCTTCCAGGAATAATGAGGTGACAATCCCACTGTGCCCTACCATGGGCAGACCAGATCTGGAGTATTTTGTTCAGCCTTGCCAAGTATAGTTTGGGAAGGACACTGATAAACTGGAAAGTGTGCAGAGGAAGGAAACTAAAATGGTGAAGGGCCTTGATCCAAGGGCAGCTTGAAGGGATCAGAGATGTTTAGCTTGGAGAAGAATAGCCTCAGAGGAGCATGATAGTTGTCTTCAAGTATTTCTTGGACTGTCATATAGAAGAGACTTGTTCTTCCAGAGACTAGAACCAGGAGCAGTGAGTGCAAGTGGCAAGGAGGCTGAAAAAAAAATCCCTCAAAATTAGAGCTGGCCAGAGAGTGGAATGGGGTGCCTTGGGAGAGAATGGGTTTACTCCTCAGTGCAAGTCTTTAAGCAGAGACTAGATGACCATTTTGGGGGTATAGGTTGGACTAGAAGGCCGTTGAGGCGGCATCCATTCCTATAATTCTGTAAGGACTTATGAGCAGGGGAATGACATCAGAAGAAGGCAATAAGAAGGAGTTACATTTATTACGAACAAAGGGTGACGGACGGCTAGGCTGCTTGGAAGGGGGTAAATGAAGAACAACTCATGGGAAGGACAGGTTGGAAGGCATTACTACTCTGGTGACTCATCTGTTCTTTTTCCTCCCTAGAGCCCTGAGGATGATGACCGGAAGGTCCGGAGGAGAGAGAAAAACAGAGTTGCTGCTCAAAGGAGTCGAAAGAAGCAGACCCAAAAGGCTGATAAACTTCACGAGGTAAGTACGTGACTATGGGCAGTGGAAGGTACGTATAAAATATTCATCGTTTGGCCCTTAAGCAAGGTTTTGCCATCATCTTTGCAAAGCTCTTTATAAATAGGAGTTATTATTACTATTATTATTATCGAAGACATGTCTTATCCTGAATGTCAGTTGGTCAATAACCACAGACAATGAATGCTCACTGTGCACATGGTCATTAGCTTGTGTACCTAGTGTACAAGAGCTACTAGTTTTTCAAGGCACAAGACCATTGGATATATAATCATAATGGACACTTTTATTCATCAAACTAAAGAAACTAAAATTTAACTAATCTTGTATTAAAAAATAAACAATTAAACTTTACTTTAAAAATGTAAACAAAAAATGAAGCATGAAATTCTAGTTTTTTGTTTGTTTGTATTTTTGAGTGTGCCCAGGCACACTCAGCACACTCTGTACTTATACCTACTTGTGTGTGCCGTCACTCAATGCACTGCACAGAATTCCTTCTTCTCTTCATCCAAGCAAAAGTCATTCAGCAGCTACTGTGCACCTTATGAAAAGCAAAATGGTATAGTGGATAGAAGGCTGGCTTTGAAGTCAGGAAGACCTGGATTCAAATCCTGCCTCTGACACATGTAACCTTTAAGAACTGGGTAAGTCAGTGTCCAACAGGGACTTTTGCTCATTGATATTTTCCCATACCATTGAAATTACAGATCTCAACAACAACAAAAATGTCCAATTCATTAGGCTAGGTTCAGGAAGAGATACATGGGGGTACATAAGACATATTATTCCCATTGTGCAAGGAGTTTATAATCTAATGGAGGAGGTAAAGCATGTTCACTCACGAATGTAATACAAATGAAAGCGGATGAAGTAGAGTTTACTCTCAGCTGAAAGGTTCAAGGAAGGCTTTATCATCATGTGGAAATGGTGGGGGAGGTAGAAAGAAGGCATTCCACACATAAGGGATGGTGCTAGCAAAGGTGGGAAGGGTGGGAACACAGCATTATAGCTCTAAAACTAGAAAGTGGTTCAAAGATCATTTGGTTTAGCTTCCTTATTTTACCACATGAAGGGACTAACACCCAGGTCACCATGGCAATATTCATTGGAGGCAGAATTGGAATCTGGTCCTTAGACTCCTGTGGTCCTTCTTTGCTGGGGAATGGCAACTATCTCTATTTTGTTTGGAGTATAGAATGTGTGAAGTTAAAATAGTGTGAGATAAGATAGAAAAGATAGGTTGCAATAAGATAGTAGGGGGCCTTTAATTCCACACTAAGGCATTCATCCCAAGAATACACTGAGTTAAGTCCGTAGTGTTTCTGGCCCAATATTTGCCTGTGTTATCTTGGTCAAAGGGCAACTATGTGGTACAGTGGATGTAGCACCGGACTTGGAGTCAGGAAGACTCCTCTTCCTGAGTTCAAATCCAGCCTCAGACACTGACTAGCTGTGTGACCCTGGGCAAATCACTTAACCCTGTTAGCCTCAGTTTCCTCATCTGTAAGATGAGCTGGAGAAGGAAATGACTAAACAATTCCAGAATCTTTGCCAAGAAAACCCCACGTGGGGTCACAAAGAGTTAGACGTGACTGAAACAACTGAACAACAACAACAAAGAATTTATGAGCACAGTTCTTTGAGTTGGAGACCTGGAAATGTCCAAAAGAGGTGGGCCAGGATGAATTTATGCATCCTGAGGAGAATAGGAGGATAACTGACTCTCCTCCAGAGCATGAATAGAGGGGAATGATATTTTGTTCATTACTCTGTCCCTTTGTTCCCTGGATCAAGTATGCTTTGGTGAGGGCGAGCTTGATGAGGAATACAGGTAAAGTCTAAACTGAGTTAAACAGGAAATGTTCGTAATCATGCCTGAAGTTAAAAGGAAAATCAAGCTCTAAGTAGGTTTTGTTTTGGGGAGTTTGACGCTTGTAATTTCATCTAAAGGGAGCCTTCCAGTCTGAAAACCCTTTCTACCAATATAGATTGACAACTCATCTGTGACTTAGAATCTTCAAGAAATGACTGAGATACCGAGAGCGTAAGTGACTTGCCCAGAGTGACACTGACAATATGTGTCAGCGGCAGGACTTGAACCCAGGTCTTCTTGACTCCAAAACCATCCCTCTATGCCATGTTGTCTATCATTAGAAATTTTATGAATATTCTAGTCATTTGCATGCATAAATCCTAAGATGTAAAATGTCAATGAATATGTCTCTGCCTTGACTGCTTCTGTTTAAGAGTCTGCAATCTCTCTTCCTTTCTTAGTGTATTCAGATCCTTTCTTCCTTCATCAAGTCATCCTTAGTTCCTCCTAATTACTAACTTCAGAGGCAGCTAGGTGGCTTAGTGGAGAGAGTATCAGGCTTGGAGTCAGGCAAACCCGACTTCAAATCTGGTCTCAGATACTTATTAGCTGTGTGACCCTGGGCAAGTCACTTAACTGCTGTCTGCCTCAGTTTCCCTATCTTGAAAATGGAGATAATAATAGCACCTACCTCCAAGGGTTGTTGTGAGGATCAAATGAGGTCATAATTGTGACATTCCAGACACATAGTAAGCATTATATAAATGTTAGCTATCATCATCATTTTTATTATTATTACCATCAAATCCAATAGTCTTTTTTCAATCCATATTCTCCTTGACCTCTTTGCAGCGTTTTATAAGGAAAATTAACAATAGAAAGAGAGGGGAGATGCTCCGCTCTTGTTTTGCTTCTGGATTCTCTGTCAAAAATGATCTTTGAACTGGAAAGAGCATAACAAAAATTGCTATTAGAGAGCTGATATTCAAGCTAGTTTGTCTATAGTCAGAGAGCACCTAGCTGTCCTTGGGGAGCTGAGATCACTGGTTCCTGATGAGTTGATTCCTAAAGTGTTGAAAGAACTAGTAAATGCGATAGCTGAGCTATGAAAGATTGCAGATAGCAAGAGAGATCACAGGACCGAAGATTTGGAGCTAAAGGGATGTCTGGTCTAACTCCTGTATTTTACAAATGAGGAAACTGAGGCCTAACAAGGTTCAGTGACATGTCCAGGGTTATACAAGTAGTATCAGAGATGAGACTGCATTTTAACCCAAACCCTCTGACTCCAGAGTCAGTGCACTTTCTAGTATATAACAGAACTGGAGAAAGGCAAATATTGTAGGGTTTTTTTTAAAAAAGGAGGAGAATGGAGGCTGCAAGCTATAAGCTGGTGAGTTTAGCTTTGATTCCAAGCAAAATTTTGGAATGTTATTATTAAAGGGATGGTTAGTGGATATCTAAAAACAGAAACAGTGACAACGAACAGCCCAGTTTGTCTTCTTTGAAAATAGATTCCTTTTTGGGCAGGATTAGACTTAGTAGAGTAGGGAAATATAAATTTGGTTCATCTAGAGTTTAGCCAAATATTTGACAGAGTCTCCTAGTATTCTGGTGGACAAGTTGGAAAGAAATGAGTTAGACAATAATACAGTTAGGGAGATTCTGAATCGGCAGAACACATAGAACCAAAGAGTGGTCACTAATGTTTCAATGGCAGCTTGGAAGTTATTTCTGGCCCTATTCTGTTTAACATTCTTATCGATGACAGTAAGAGGCAGTGCTGTGGGGGGTGGGGTGGTGGAGAGCAGGTCTTGAGGGTAGGGTAATTTAGGTTCAAATCTTATCTCTGACACATATTGTCTTTCTGACCCTGGGTAAGTCATTTAACCTCTTAGTGGTCTAGGCCAGAGGTGTCAGATGGCTCACTAGGCTGCATGCAACCGTACAACAGTCCTGTGTGGCAGAACCAAATTAAAATATAATTGAGAAGTATTTAATAATATATATAAGATACAATAGAACATATGTGGTTTTCTAAAGCCCACAAGGATCCTTAGGTACAGATTAATGGTTCCCATTTCTATTTGGGTTTGACACTACTGGTCTAGGCAATTTTCTAAGACTTTAATTACAGAGAAGGCACCCAACTGCCCTGGTAAAGGGAGTTTCCTAATGGGAATTTTCTGATAAAATTAAATTTATTAGAGTGAAATGTAAACTCATGTTTTGGTTCAAAAAATAACATCCTAAGTCACAGAATGGGAAACATAGGTATGGTTAGAGAGCAGTTTGAAAAATGTCTTGGGGTTTTTAGTGGACAGTGGACTTCTGATTCTGTCCATTTTAAGCCCTCTCTCCTTGAAACTTCCGAGGCCCCATTCTGTTTGGACATCCTTACACAATTCTTCTTGAACCTAGAGTTATTTGAACTTTTCTTTTATCCCTCATATTAGATTGTAAGCTTTTTGAGGACAGAATCTTGTTCTATTGTTAGAGAAACAGTAGAGCATGGTGGATAGAATGCTGGACTGAGTCAGATAGATTCAAATCCTGCCTATGACACGTGCTCAATATACACAAATCTGTTCGTCTCTCTGAATGTCAATATCTTCTTTAAAACGTGATGATAAGCTATACCTCACTGGGTTGTTGTGAGTAACAACTGAGCTAACGTGTGGAAAAGGCTAAAGCACCATGTAAATAGCATTTACTTGGATATTTGAATCCCTATCACTTAGCCTAATGTCTTGCAATAGTAGGTGTTTAATACATGTTTGCAGAATTTAATAAAAAAAAATCTTTATATCCACTCAACTTTATGGGATGGTTTTCAGAAAAAAACATCCCATCAACTTTATGGGATGGTTTTCAGAAAAACTATTCCATAAGGTTGAGTGGATAAGAAGATTTTGTGTTAGCCCAGAATGGTTGTCAAGGCCATGGCTAGAAAGGATCTGTTGGAATTCCCATCTCAAGAAGTCTCTATTTCATTATCATCATGGGGACAAACTAAGGGACAGCTTAGTATCCCTTCTTACTCTTGATAGTGCCTTGATTATTTCTTTATACTGATCCAGGGTAAATATCTCAAGAAATTGCTATAGCTTGTCCAAGCCAATAGAATACACTCTCATAAAGTCTACGAAGTAATTCAACAAGGGTAGCCCAAAGATTTGACTTAGAG